CTTTTGGTTTCCAGTCCAGTGTTATCTATGTTTTAAGTTCAGGGTTTCTTTATCCAACTTGGGATAAAGTCTCTAGTTGAGCTTTCTGTGATGATGGAAGTTCCTGCCCAGTACAGTAGCCACTGGCCACAACATAGCTATTGAGCACCTGAAGTGTGACTTACAAGACTCATGAACATAATTCTTATTCTCACATTTTAATCATTAAATAGTAACATGTGGCTAGTGGCTGCCAGACTGCATAATGTAGATCTAGACAATAGTTTTGAGATGATGGGCCACAAAGAAAAGGGTAACAAAGGGACATGTAGAGAGGGCTACAGATATTATTATAACTAATATATTACAGTTTTGAAGCCTCTGATTGTGTTTTGTGTGGAAGACCTGGGAGAGAACATGCGTCCTTAAAATTTTATCAGCTCCAAAACGTCCTTAACTCCAGAAAAAGGATGGGGTTAGTTTCTGTATATCATTCATTACTCAATATGTTCAGGAAACATTGATGTGATCCCTTGTAAGTCTTGAAAGCTGGTACGCCAATGCTTTATTTTAAATTTTATGCTCAGTTTTATGTGTGTAATGCTTCTTAGGTGCTTTATGTACATTACTTTTTGATCCTCACACAATCATGCCTTATTATCTACATTTTACTGAAAACCAAGGTACTAGAAAAGTAAGTCCTTGCTCAGAACTACACAGTAATAAGTGGTAAGAATAAGATTTGAACCTAAGCAGTTTTCATTAAATTGTACTGTCCCCCAGGTTATCTTACAAATTGTTTGTATTACATTTCCAGTTTTATATAGACCCATTTAAGTTGCTGCCACTGCAGAGGTTTTTACCTCGACCTCCGGGTGAGAAAGGACCTCCGCGAGGTGGTGGCCGGGGAGGCCGAGGAGGAGGAAGGGGAGGAGGTGGCGGCAGAGGCGGCGGTAGAGGTGGTAAGTTACTTATGGGAGAAAATTTCTAATGAGACTTCATAGCCACAGCTGACTCATGTAGTACAATTTAATTTTGTATGTAGGCAAACTTCCCTTGTATTTATTTATTTTGGTAAAACTTCTTTCAAGTATTGGCAGATTGTCCATAGTAATAATGCTTTGTTTCAGTTACTTAAAAAGAAAAAAACCTTAACAGTTCACTTTTGAGCGATGTTTAACTCTTAGGTTATTTTAACTCTTGGTTTTCTTAGGGAGTTTTGTAAAGTACAGTCATTTGTTAATGGCAGATAAATTCTGAAAAATTCCTCATCAAGCAGTTTCATTGTTGTGTGAATATTGAAGTGTGTTCACACAAATCTAGATAATATAGGTCAGTCACCCAACGTGGCTTCTTGACACAGTTGAGAGATGGTAAACATGAGATGTATGGGGCTAATGCTGGTGTCAGATGGCATTGTTTTACAGTAAGCTTTTTTATAAGTAGGAGTGAGTATACTATAAAATTACAATAAAAAGAATAGTAAACACATAAGCTAATAACAGATGTTAATAATCATTATCAAGTATATACTAAATTGTATGTTCTATACTTTTCTATTACTGGTAGCACAGTAGGTTTGTTTATATCATTAACACCATAATTATGTGAATAATGCATCAGTTTACAGTGTCACTGGGCAATAGGAATTTTCTAGCTCCATTGTAATTTTATGGGACCACTGTCTTATACATGGACTTTGTTGACCAAAATGTCATTGTGCACTATATGACTGTATAAGATTATCTTAACTGAAGTTTAGTTTCTTAGATAATTGTCATTGTATATTGACTGTATGCTGAGAGCTGGTCTTATTCTTACTATCCATGTACATTCTTTCAATAATTAGCAAAGATTTTTGAGGCAGGTGATGTTCTGATTTTGTGTATGAGGAAATGGAGTCTCTTAGAGGTTCATTTGCCATAATCAGTTGGCAGACCCAGAATTAAAACCCATGGCTTTGATGTAATGCTGGGAACTGTTTGTAATATTGGTGCTCTTTGACTTGTAATGGGGTTACATCCCTATAAACCCAGCCTAAATTGGAGATTTCCAATGTAGTTGAAAATCTACTTAGTATACCTAACCTGCCATACATCATCGCTTAGCAACACAATACGCTGTACAGTATCTATTGAAATTTCAAGGTTTATTAGCACCCGAGCATCACCTATGGTACATGTGCAGCTTGGTTAAACGTCCACATGATATTTTCTATAGTATCTCCAGAGCAAAACTACCCATACCTGCTCCCATTTGTTTTTAGAATAAGTGGTTTTAATCAAACTATCCTTAGTTCAATTAAAAGTATTTACATAAGCAAAAGCTAAGGTAAGGACTGTGGTTGTAGCTTAGTGGTAGAGCACTTGCCTAGCATGTGTGAGGCACTGAGTTCAATTCTCAGCATCACATAAAAATAAATAAATAAAAGTCCATTAACAACTTAAAAAATGTTAAAAAATATTTAAAAAGTTGAGATAATCATACATTTAGCAATAGTGCTAAACCATACTTTGATAAGTTTTTCTGATTCATAACGGTGGAGTCCTGTCTAAAGTTGGTAATCTGGGGTTTGCCCTCCTGCCTGATTGGAGAACTGCTAAGTTTCTCCATTTTTATCTTCGAAAAAAAATTTATGTAAGATTAAATAGGTGAATCTGCACTTGTTCTTTTTAATTATAGGAATTGTATCTTTGTTGGCTTATCAGCAAGTGAGAAGCTACAGTTATTTAATAAAATTTCCCCTTTTAGGTGGATTTAGAGGTGGAAGAGGAGGTGGTGGCTTCAGAGGAGGAAGAGGGGGTGGTGGTTTCCGAGGTGAGTATGAGAAAAAAAATGTCTTTAATGACTGAATTTTTAGGATTGATACTATCTGCCATTTTCTTCTTTTAATTTTCTCTCTGCTAGCAAGTAAATAGAACATTGTGGTATTCTTTGCTTTAGACTAATTTTTGGCTTCATTTTATATCCTCTTTTTTTCCTCTTTTTAATTTTTTCCTGTATTTCTAACATTTTGCTGTATTTTTAATTTGAAAATCAAAGAAAGGTATAGTATGAATGACAGTTACATTTGGTAAGGTAAATTTACTAAAATTATAGGACTAATGCTGATTTTAAATCTGAGATTTGGTTAATGCTTTTATTAAAAATCTCTTTTCTGTTCCGTTAACACTTTAATTTTCTCTTACCCAGGGAGAGGACATTAGATATAGCATCTGACAGACTTCATCAGTTGACTTCTGCTTTAACTGCATGATCTGCTTCTGCTCTGGATTGGAAACTGAATGTCTTGAGCAAGTCTTGGAAGATGTAGTCATTTTGTGACAGTGGAGTTGGTGTGTCAGTGTTATGCATAAATGAGTGCAGCAGAACCATCATTTTAGCTCTGAAAGAGCAGAAATAAGTCTTTATATTTTGTATAGTGCCTGGTACTCTGTGGGTGCTTAATAAATGGAAAGGAGTTTTCATTTGAAGCATATATGAATTTTTTTAAATAAAATGTTCTATTCCTTTAAATTCTTTAGTGTGTTTATTGAACCAAATCTGGTTTTTGAAATTTGAAGGAACAACTAGAGCTTAAACCCAATGAATTACAGATAGAAAAAAACAAAACAGGATTTGTTTATATAAATTACTGATATTCTAAAGAAACATACTACTGGAGTAATACTTTAAGATTATTTATAAATTAGTACCTCTTTCCAAATGTTTGCCTTTTGTGTATGAGAACATTAGCATCTTTTATTTCCCTTTTCTTTTTTGTGTGTTAGTACATAGAGTAAAGCAGTTTCTCTAATTGTAGTTAATAATTTTAAAATCTTGCTATGAATCTATTTAAATTTGAGTAGCTATGTTCAAGTGAGAACTAGTTAAAGAAATTTCTGAAGAAATGCTTAATTTTTCTTATTGAACTTTTCTCATTGAACATAGATATGTTATTAACAGTTGTAAATGTTCTAAATTTTCCTTTTTTTAGAGGACTGTAAAGGTTTAAGATGTTATTCACCATAAATGATTTAATTGTCTTTCACATGTTCATATTCTTGGGTAGGGATGTTACAAATAAAATTGGTTTTAGTCATCATTGTTAGTACAGTAGTATCAAGAAATAACCATGGTAGTAAGTTAGAATACCGTGACATGGGACCATTCACCAACTATCATTTGAGATTTTTTTCTCTCACTTGTTGTTTCTCAGCAGGAAATATTTATATTAAGTTTTCTAGCATGAATGATTAACTCTTTAATGCTCATTTAAGTAGCATGTAATTGCTTATTATCAGTATTTTGGGTTTTACTTATCCTTTTTAATTAATGGAATTACAGCAAGATTAATCAACATATAGGCCATAAATGATATGTTGAAATTTCTCTTTCATGCAGAGGTGGTTGTGCATAACAGCTCAGGAAAGATGGCTCTTTGATTCAGAGTCTTTGGGATGAGATTTTGCTCTTGATTTTTAAATGGTATTAGTACCAGAGGGGCAGTGGCATTGACCGAAGGACAAGTAATAGTGTTACATTACTAACAAGTAATGTAACACTATTTATTTTTTCTTTTTAGTATTTAAAAAAACCTAAAATGGCAATAATGAAAGTAATGTATGCAATAGTAGACAAACCACTTAAGAGATTTCACCTTTTACCTTAAGTATATCTTGAGGTCATTGACCATTTTCAACTTTGGTTTTCAGTCTTTTTCCTAAGCAAGGAAACAACCTTAAAATCCAATAACCACAGGCTTTTAACAGAGTTCTTTATAGTATTATTTACTTTTTAAGTGTTATTTGAAAATATTTTGGTATTTTGGAATACTGAAGATAATTTCTCTATTATAGGTACTCTGCAGAGTATTACTTTACATTTATAAGAATTTGAGTACTAGTAGCTAAATCAATGGGAACAGATTAATCAACCTGTGTTCTTCTGTTTTCATTCATGTGAGAACTGAGGTGAGAAGATTATGCCAATCATTGAATTAAAGTAAGTAAATGGACAAATATAGCCCTCTAGTGGTTCTGTTACATGCTTACACTATTAATTTTGGTGTATCTAAGCATTTCTCTTGATTGAAGTTCACTATCACGAAGAATCAGATTTTAATGTTGTAGTGGTTAAAATACAAAAAAAGTACTGATACCTTGTCTTTTGTTTAGCAGTACATGTTCATATTGCAACTTGTTTTTCAGATTATAACATGGTAATCCAGAATATTAGAATTAACCTTTACAAAATGAATGACTGAATCCAGATACTATTGATTACTCTTGTGCATATCAAAGTGGGTAATTAAACAGAGGTAGATGGTGGAGTAGATCCATCCTATGAATATGTATCTATTAATAAGTTTTATTACCTTGAACTTATTATGTGGCATTTATGGAAACAAATTACATAATACTTATATATATGATGTTTGTGTTCATATATATACATAATGTTTATATATTTATATACATAGATCACATTTTTGTTTAAAGGGGGAAAAATGTGAGAAACCTCAGACTCTTTTATATAAACATGTTTATATAAGCAAAGAAAAGCTTAAGAATGAATGCACACCAAACAATATTGATACCTAAATTTAGGGGAGTGAGATTTGGAAGTATGGGAGGAGATTACTTTTTATCTCTGATTATTTAAATTGTTAAGGAAAACAGGGAACTGAGATGGAAAATCTCAAAGGGTCAACAAGAAATCAGGATCCTTAATCTGAGCAGTTACAGAGGACTAAATCTGGCTTGTAGATTTCAGACAAAAAAGTTAAGTCAGCTCCTGCACTGATTTTCTGAGTTTATTATTGAAATAGGATGTGTGTGCTTGATAATCTGCTTAAATATAAGACTGATGCCTAAATTGGTTAAAATGTGTGGTACTTGGTATTTCTTTGTTTTGCTAATAAGCTTTTCCCTTGCTCTGGGAATTAAAATCCCTTCCTCTTTAGCCCAATTATACTTGTTAAGGGAAGACCTCTATGAAAAGGTCCTTCTTTGAGGTCTCTCACTGGAAATGATTGGTCCTGAAAAATCTTTCCTCCTGGGCCCTTGAAACAGTTCATAATTATTGAAGGCTTATTATGAAGGCTGTCTCAATATCTTCCTTCCAAAAATGCTAAAGAATAATTTAGATAACAGTTCAGACTCAAAAAATGAAGATGGCTCTGTCTTTTCGCAGACTGAACACAACATTGTTGCAACTTACTTGATTCTGGCAGGTATGGATATTTTCTCCATTAACCTTGCTTTCAATGGGTGGAAGCAAAGTACAGTTTTCAAAACAAGGCGATAGAATTGGCTTGCTTATGAGTATTATCCTCTGTTTCTGGGCTGTAAGGATCAAAGATGAGGTTATAAGTAAATGCCCCAGGATAATTTGATAAATAATGTGAGACGGTGAAGTGGGGCTTTGAAAAATTTTCTGTAAAATAGTTTTTAAATGAAGGTCAACCATTAAATGTGATTATTGCATTGTCAAATTAAGCTTATGGGGGAGAGTGTGTGCTGTGACAAAATGTATTCTTATAGCATTTACTATTCCTAGACAGTTTTCTTGGAAGTATAATCTAGCTAAAGATATAAAGGTTCTGGAAGAAAAAGTCTTGAAAAGAATAGAAGGTAGTATTGTCGTTGAGGACAAAGTTTGAACATTCAACTCCTTCCAGAATGCTGTACTGGAAAACCCTTGAGCTTTGGATTCATCTTTTAGTATATGAAACCAAGACCATGTTCCTTCACTTTTTGCTCTTCCATTTTCTTATCTGTAAAGTGAAGACAAGAATAAATTACTATGGTTATTGTGAAGAGTAAAATTAAACGACATATAAGTGAACCTAAATGACACACTAGGAGGGGACAACAATTTCTTTCCATGTACACACTTATTGATACAAATACTGGATGAATATAATGCCTTGTTTGCAGACAAAGGATTGGGGAAGATAACAGTGCAAATTCTTTGATTATCTTTTAAATATTGGCTTTTCTGTATATTGTGATGTAACATACTGACCAATTTCCAACTTTAGTGGCAAGTTTTAGAAGTAACTGTTCATTATTTTTTGAATTGACTTATGAAAAATTCAAGCATGTTCCAAAGTAGAATGAAAAGCATAACAAATATTCCTGTCTAGTTTATAATTGTTTAGTTTTCCCTTCTAATTCATAATTAGAGTTCCAATTTCTTGTGTTAAAAATTACAAGTTTCTTAGTTACTTTTAGTAATTTCAGGAATGTTAATTCATTAATTTGGATACTTTTAGTATGTGGAATCCTGGAAAAATATATATATATATTTAAATTTTTTGCTGCTGCTGCTTCTGCAAAAAGACAATCTCATTATTGGAATTACATGGAAATACAACTACGAGGGTCATTTTGGTTAAATACTACCATGAGTATATGTTGTTTAAGTTTTTGGTAGATGAACTGAAGGGAGCATATTTAATCTCTACAAATAGATTTTGTTCTTCCCCTGTATCAAGCACATATTGTTCTTTAGATCCCTGATTTTCTTCCTTTAACAAAGCCCACTTAAACTCCTAAATCAAAATCAGAAATATGAGGAAAATGGTGCAAAACATTTGTTACTTTTACCAAGAGCCAAGGCTTTTTTTGTTTGTTTTAACTGTAGATTTAATTTTAATCTTTCATTTAGATTTTTGGTCCTATAAACTTACCAGTTTTCACTGCTATCAATGTTCTGTTTATTTACTTGAACACTCTCCCCCAATTAAAGGTGTGGTAAATTTAAGGATCTGAAATTACTATGGGTGATTTGTAAAATGAAAGGTGAAAGAGAGGCTGTGTGTACTGGGCAATGAAGGAATGTAAACTGAGGAGACAGGGTGCCACTACAGGGTTTTAAACAGGAATTACGTGATCTGATTTGCCTTTCAGAAATGTGCTACAGTGGTAGCTAAGAGACCATGTAGGAGACCACTGCAGTGCTTCTGAAGAGTTACCAATCGCAGAAGGAAGTAGACTACTCAAGCTGGAATTGATTAGATGTGGGGACTGGGAAAGAAAGAGCAGGAGCTGATGTCTCCTAGGTTTGGGGCAGGAGGAGACACCTGGGTTCAGTTAGATATGCAGTTAAAAGCTTGAGTTGCATGAGACTGATGATATTGGATAGAAATCACTCAGCGGAATGTGTAGAATGAGAAAAGAAAGGAGTTTAGGACAGAAAGTTGGACAGTACACATATATTTAATAAGGTGGAGCTGAAGAAAAGAAGTAGATTAAGAAGGCCCTGCTAGTAAGATTGGAGGGAAGCCACAGATACCAAAGTGGATGTTTCAAGAGGGAAGGATGATCAATCTCGGTCTACACTGCTGCTTACAGTGTAGACTGACTGAGAAATGGACCCTAACAAGACCTAACTGAAGTGATCAGCTGCCTACTTATTAGAAAACACTCCCAACTAGGAAAATAAAAACAGTGCTTAAGACAGCTATAGAAAGAACAGATAGAAGGCCAAATTGTTTATGTAGTACACCCATTATATCTAAGACTATCCCCAAAATATAGGTACTTTATTTTGATTGTGTACTTGTTAGGCAGTAATTTACTACACTATCTGATGTTTAAAATCATCAGATTTGTAGGTAGCCCAGAAAGATTCACTTTTTTTTTTCAGTATTTCAGTATTTTTTCAGTATCTCTTATATGCATGATACAGTAATAGATGCTAAAAATGAGGCCAAAGAGTTATTGAATTTACTTTGTATTAATTAAGCTTGAAGGAACAATAGAAATTAAGCTTAATTAAAGGAATAATTGAAATCAAACTTAATTTATTAGTTGTGATCCATTTATTAAATAGCTTTGCTACATGGCACATAGTCAAAGAATATAGAATTCATAAAGGGCCTGATAACTTCATGAGAAGACAGAATACATAAGAGATAATATAACATTGGGATTAAGTATAAGTACTTTGGGGATTTGAGGAGGAAGCACATACAACAGTACTGTGGGTAGAAAGCAGCTTTAGGGCAGAATTGGACGATCTGAAATTGGAAGGATGTTAGCATTTGGAAATGGGAAAGCAAGGAGCAGGGTGTTTCAAGTGGGGACGGTATGAATCAGGATTTTCAACAAACATGACATATTTGATAAATAATTAAATGGAGGGCTTGTTTGACAAGTGGGGAACTTAAGAGATAATAACAGACCTTAGCAAAGAGTCAGATCAGGCTGGGGAGTTTGAATTTTTATCCCACAGGCAGTGGGAATTATTGGAAGTTTTGAGGAGAAGAGACATGACTATTATAGCAAGCGTATTCTGACAGCACCATGGAACAAAAAAAAGAAAAGGAATCTGGAAGATGAGTATAATACTGAAGATGGAAGTTTTGACTGCGGGGCCAAGATACATTTGGAATTCCTACTTAGCTGATCCTTTTGTGTGTTGGTACTTGGAACCTTCCCTGGCTCTTGTTATAGCTGTGGATTGCTTACCAAGTAATTTCCTTCATGGGAAACAACTCTTCCTGTTTGTTGCATAACCCTCCCTTAGTTGCCAAGAGTTGGGTAATGGTTCTAACTTCTCCTCTCCACTGAAATCTGCTCTTGCTCCTCCTCCACTGTTATATCCCAGGGCAGCATACCTGTGCTTATGGAAAACTCATACATTCCTTGCAGCATATATGGGTGTTGCTGATCAGGTTAACATGCACATCCAGTCTATCCAACAATATCTCATTGTAGAATGCATCAGCTCTCTGATCAGTAAGTTTGGTCATCAATCTATCTCAGTTCAGTTGATTCTGGGGTACTGAAAACATTTGAGTTCTAGACTGCAAGGCTGAGACTCATATCTTAGATTGTGGAATCCTGGCTAGAGTGATTTCACCTGTGATCCCAATGGATCAAAAAGTTGACTCCACTTGCTGTCCAGACAGTTAAGTCTTGCAGTGTGCATTAGTCTATAGGTATGTGTGTGTGTGTGATGAAGAATTCAGATTTGGACACGCTGGGTTTCAAGACATTTGAAAAAGTCACATGACTTATCCATGGTAGATGTTTAATAAGTGTTTAATGTCAATGAGTTAAATAAAAAGAAAATGTGGAAACAAGCATGTGTCAGGGCTGAAAACAGTGACAAAAGTGTGGTTAGAATAGAATGATAGTCTAGGCTTCAGAAAGAAGAACTTCAGGAAAGGAGAGGAAGTTACACTGCCAAAAGCAAGGAGGTGGTAAGTGTACCTGCATCCTAAAAATCAGGGATGGTGTCATGAAAGCCAAAGGGAGAGTTTCAAGGACAGTGTGATCAAGAGTGGTAGTATTAAAACCAAATTCAGCCAGGTACGATTGCACATGCCTGTAATCCCCGTGGCTAGGGAGGCTGAGATAGGAGGCTCCTGAGTCCAAAGCCAGCCTCTTTGTTAGCAAGGCCCTAAGCAATTCAGTGAGACCCTGACTCTAAATAAAATACAAAAAAGTACTGGGAATATGGCTCAGTGGTAGAGTGCCCCTGGGTTTAATCCCTGCTACAAAAAGAAAAAAAATAAACCGACCTTCAGTGTTGGCTTATGCAATCAGCAGATTCTTTATTTTCACTTCCTTATTTTTTTTCTCAGCAGGGCTGTGAATATGTGACAATTTTAAGAACATTAAGAACTCAATGACTAAAATGAATTTATTATGTTTTTTGAAAGGCTTTTATATTATTGATTTTATTTTAAACATTCAAATTAAAAAGTACATGACATTTTTGTGTTCTCAGGTGTGATAAGTATTCTCAGCAACCTAATAGTTCTGGGCATCTTCATTAAGTACAAGGAACTTCGGACACCTACGAATGCAATCATTATTAACCTGGCTTTCACTGATATAGGGGTCAGTAGTATTGGCTATCCCATGTCTGCTGCTTCAGATCTGTATGGAAGTTGGAAATTTGGATATACAGGCTGTCAGGTATTTGGAGATCTTTAGAATAAAAGCAAAATAAAGTAGATTAAAGAGATGTAAATTTAAATGTCTTTTGAAAATCCCAAGAATTTAAATCAAATAAGAAATTTCAGGATAATAGATATGGTACTTTTATGGAAAACAAGCTTCAGAAGTGACTGAAGATACGTTCTTTAAGAGGAGAAATAAAATCACTCATCACCATTATATATTAAAAATTCTCCCAACTCAAAGTGGAAAACTAACGAGGCAACTAATATTCTACTGGAGAAGGACTCATAATCTGCATATTCAAATAAAAATTTACAAATTGCAAATTCAAAAGGAAATATTCTACTTTCATTTGAAACAAAATATTTGGTGACAAGTTACACTGTCATGTTGATATTTTTTTTCCTATAAAAAGTCCTCTGTAAGCATTGTTTATTTACTGTTATTTTACTGACAAGGAAATGAACTAATATTAATTTGCATTAGATTAATAGAAAAATATGACATGTCCTATTTTTTGCAAGTCATAAATTATAGAGAATACTAGACGCCATAAATGTACCAACTAGTTTTGTCAAATATTAGTGGTTTTCGATTTGTGTTTATAGTTGTTATTCTTTTTGATGATATAAAACTTCAGAGATATTGTTGAAGGCCACTGCATTCCATCCCCAATCTTATTTCTTTCCCTCCCAGGAGCATATTTCTTACTCTATATTTTTGTATACATAAACAGATATTGTCCAAATGGTTTAACTTTTGTGTAAATGATATCATATTGTTGGCATTATGTAATTTTCTTTAATTACTGTTATGTTTTTGAGATTATCCATGTTGATGAATGTGTCTATAAGTCACTTATTTTAACTACTGTATAATATTCCATCATATGAACATAGCCCAATGTGCTTTCTCATTTTCCTGCTACTAAGCATTTACTCTCAATGTTTTCCTTTCATAAACAAAGCTTCAAAAAACATTCTTATACATGTTCCCAACTGCAACATGTGAGAGTGTCTCTAGACACCCTGCCTGGGGAGAGAAGGATTAGATTGTAGGAATACCTTCAATTTTATTAGATGTGGCCAGATTGCTCTGCAAAATGGTCATTCCAGGCAAAAGAAGTTATCTTACTCCACACTCTCCTCAACACTTAGGATTGTTAGGCTTTTAAATTTTCATCATTTTTGTGTATGTGAATTTATAATTTGTGTTTTTTGCATAAACTATCTTATATCATCAATATTCAAATGTAAATCAGCTTCTTTGAGTAGCCCACTCATCATTTGGCTATTTTTCCATTGAGTTTACCTTTCACCCCTGTTTCTCCCTTTTGAATGCTAAGCTTTTGTTGATTTATATGCATTTTACCCTAATTAATGGCTTGCTTTCACTTTGTTTATAGAATATGTTGTGTAAATGTTCAGCTTAAGTCTTAAAACGAAAAAAGAAATAATGAAATCTCAAACACTTTTCACAATAGCTTTTATTAAAGTAGTTACAATTGGATAACAGAAGATGTACTTTAAAATAGTAAATAAAAAAGCTTTAATATATTTTAAGTATGTTCTAAGAATGAAGCAAAAATCTAAATGTTTCTTGGATGGGTGTTAGAATGGTGGATTCTTTCCCATTTTGATTTTCAGATTTATGCTGGATTGAATATCTTTTTTGGAATGGCAAGCATTGGATTGCTCACAGTGGTGGCCGTGGATAGATACCTGACCATCTGTCGCCCGGATGTGGGTATGTCATAGTCTTTCCTCTGCTTTCTCAGTGAAGCCATTTATTACCTAATGTTCACTCAACGTATGTTCCCTTTAACATATAAACGTAGTGGTTGTAATCAGGGTCATTCTTGTTTCTCTGGTATTCAAGTTTCAGTGTCTTCCTATTACATTTAAAGTAAAAGCCAAATTTGCTAAGACAGCCTGGTCCGACCCAGCTACCTTTCCAGCTGTGGCTAGGGCCACTCTCATTCTGGGATACTGGCCAGGCCCTTTTTCTCCCTGAGGTCTTTGTATATGCTGTTTTACTTGGCTTGAAATGCTCTTCTTGCTCATCCTCTGGCTGATCCTTTTTATTGTTCAGGTTTCAGCTAATCTGTGATGTTTCACAGAATGTGAGTCATGTGAACAAGCTTTGAGTGAACTAAAGTGCTCTGAAAAAAATCTTGATAAACTTGATAAAATCAAGATAAAATTTGAAAATAAAGTGAATCCCATCATTGCACATGATGCTAACCTTTCTTATGCTTATTGATAGGAAGAAGAATGACCACCACCACTTATGTCAGCATGATTCTGGGGGCCTGGATCAATGGCCTGTTCTGGGCTATGATGCCCATCATAGGGTGGGCCGGTTATGCCCCAGATCCTACTGGGGCTACCTGTACCATAAATTGGAGGAAAAATGATACGTAAGAAACAAGTCTACACTTTATAATCAAACGCTTTGTACACATTTTCTCACCCTTCAAATTTAAGCTCATACTGGGCTGGGGATGCGGCTCAGTGGTGGAGTGCTTGGCTAGCATGAATGAGGGAAGTACTGGGTTCACTTACTACCACTGCAACAAAAATAAATAAGTTCCAGATTTAAGGTCAGATCACTTTTCTCATACAGAGTGTGGCAAAGTGCTTCTTTGGTAATGATGATATGATCCAAGCCGGAGTAAAAATAGAAGGATGAATTATGTTTCTTTGAAAGTTAAGTTTACCTGGTCTCCTTGCACCCCAATCTGTCCTTTTCTTCCTTCTTCTGTCCTTTTCTAAGGCATCCATAGGGAGACTAATCACCCTGCCAATGTTTCTCATCTCAGAGTTAGGATTGTGAGCAAAGTGTTAATGAAGCTCTAGAGCAGGCACCTCTGGCAAAAGCCCAAGCTGCCTCCTGCTGTCTTTCCAAGTTGATTTGGTGATCAGGCACATTCTGAGAGCTTTGTAGCAAAAGTGCAGTCACTACAAGGGCCTAAGAGTCAGTGATGCTCCTCCATATTTTTCAGGGTAACAAGGATAATGTAGTTCATTGAGAGAAAAGAGAGATGACTCCAAAAAACAAATAGAAAACTTCTAAATCTCCATCTACAACTTTTTCTGAAAAGAGTAAAAACAAAAACAAAAACAAAAAAACAACTATTTCAGCTTTATAGGCCAGATTGTTTCTGTTTTAACTATTTAACTGTTATCACACTGTTAAGTCGTAGACAATATGTAAATGAATGTACATGCCTGGATCCAGTAAAACTTTATGTACAAAGATAGTTGAACAGCTGGCATGACCCACAGGCCATAACTTGCCAACTCCTGGTCTAAGTGAACTGAAAGTCAAATATAATTCCTAAACTTTTTAACAATAAAATGACTGTCATTATTATTTCTTTTTTTTTTTAAATTTTAATATTTATTGTTTAGTTTTCGGCGGACACAACATCTTTGTTTGTATGTGGGGCTGAGGATCGAACCTGGGTCGCATGCATGCCAGGCGAGCACGCTACCGCTTGAGCCACATCCCCAGCCCCACACTATTATTTCTAATAAGTTATCTCTTTTCCCCCTTCTCCCATTTAGGATATTAAGTGAGTTGTCATTGTCTTTTCCTATTTCCAGATCTTTTGTGTCTTACACGATGACAGTGATTGCAGTAAATTTTATTGTGCCCTTGACAGTGATGTTTTATTGCTACTACCACGTCACTCGATCCATTAAACACCATGCTGCTAGTAACTGCACTGCATACCTAAACAGAGACTGGTCAGACCAAGTAGATGTAACAAAGGTAAGATGTCAACATTCTTTAAAAGTTGTTTTGTAATCACACTTTTACAAACACATAGTTGAAATTGAGTCTCATGACTTGCCCCAGTCTCCTTCCCCCCACCTCCCATTTCACTCCCCAGGTCTTTTTTTTCTTTATATTCCCAAATGATATGCTCATTGGCTCTTTGGATATTTCAGTTGATTATCATCATTGGAATTCCTATTGTGGACGAAAAGGATTTATTTCTCTTAAGCCACCAACCCGCTCCACACCTCCCCTCCACCTTTCTCTTTCCTTATCTCTCAGTATGTTAGCAATGTTTGGTGAGATTGAAAGGCTTTCTCCCTCCTCTCAGTGTGTTCACACACACCTTCCTGGTTCCCTTGAGCCTCTTGCTCTTTTCAGGGGTGGTTGCTCTCTAAGATTGCTGCTCAGGGGCTGGGGATGTGGCTCAAGCAGTAGTGTGCTTGCCTGGCCTGCTCAGGGCCACATAAAAATAAAATCCTCAGCACCACATACAAATAAAAATAAAGATGTTGTGTCCACCGAAAACTAATAAATAAATATTTAAAAAATTCTCTCTCTCTCACTCTCTCTTAAAAAAAAAAAAAAAAAGACTGATGCTCAGGAAGCCTTCATCTTTCGCTCTCTCTTCCTCACCACCTGGGACTGCCTTTTTCTCCTTTCCAGGGTTAGATGGCCTGTTTTGGGGATTGCTTGTCTTTGTGGTGTTATTTATTTTGATGGAGCCCATTCTTCAGTAGATTGCTGAAGTTTCAAGGGAGGTAAAAATTATAAAACTTTGCATAACTGAAAATGTCTTATTCTATTATTGTATTAGACTATATTTGCTTGTTCTGGAATTCTAGGTGCAAAAATATCAAAGAATTTTGAGGGTCTTGCTCTATGGAGTTGCCTAGCTTTCTGTATTGCTATTGCAAAGACCACTGGCATGCTGGTGACTGATTCTTTGTAGTGATCTGTGAGTTCTCTCTGAAAGCACATAGGCTCTTCTCTTTGAATCTTGTTTTCTGAATTTCATACTGATGTGCCTTGGTGTGGTCTTTACTCATGCAGAACCGTGTACCTGATGAGTACTTTCATATGGAGACTTAACTCTGCCTCTCTTGGGAGCTTGCTTGTATTATTTTTTGGTATTCCTGCCTCTCTCTTTTCTTTATTCTCTTTTCCTAGAAATCCATTTATTCAGATATTTAATTTTCTGGAATTATCTTCTGATTTTCTTAAATTTTTTTGCTAGATAGACTCTCTCTGGTTTGTTTGTTTTAAAGCTGTCATTTGTGTCTGTTTCTAGTTTCTGAAGATTTCCCCAACCATATTCAGATCTGTGATGAGGGTGAGAATAATGAAGCCCAAGTTTTAAGTGCAAAATTTAAAGGTGCACCAAAATACTCAATAATAATAAAAAATGTTTGTGCTGGGTGTGGGGGTGCACCTGTAATCCCAGCAACCCAGGAGGCTGAGGAAGGAGGATCATAAATTTGAGGCCAATCTCAGCAACGTAGTGAGATCCTATTTCAAAAAATAAAAAGGGCTAGGGAGGTAGCTCAGTGGTAAAGTGCCCCTGGGTTTAATTCCCATCAAATAAATAAATAAATAATATAAAAAATAGTGTAATACAATAATTTAAAAAATCAAAATTAGTGTAAAAATTATATTGAACAATTCACAATAGCCAAACTACAGAACCAATCTAGGTGTTCATCAACAAATGAATGGCTAAAGAAAATGTGTATATATACACAATGGAATTTTATTCAGCCATAAAGAAAAACTAAGTTTTGTCATTTGCAGGAAAATCAATGGAACTAGAGACCATTATGTGAAGTAAAATAAGCCAAAAAATGGCCATATGTTTTTTTCTCATATGTGAAAGCTAAAGAGGCAAAAGGAAAAGAAAGGCTTGGAGGGGATCTCATAAAAATTCAAGAGAAATCAGTAAAGGACGAGGATCCTGGGGTTGGGAGGTGGGGAGGGAGGGGGGAGTGCTGAGAATGATATTGACCCAATTATATTGTGTGCATATATGAATATGTAATAACAAATCCACCATCATATCAACTGTAATGCAACAATAAAAATGTGGGGGAAAAAAATGAAAAAAACTTTAAAAAAACAAAATTCGAAAACTGGAAAAGATGAACCATAAAAAAAATTATGTTGAACAAAATATAAAATTTTAAATAAATAGCTATCCTGTACTTATAGAAACTACTTCTCCCACCTTTCTTTAAATCGAGGCTGGCAATATTATTCAACCTTCTTATGACATTTTTTATGTTTCTACTCTCACCTTTATAGATAGCATAAAACAGTCTTTTTCTAGATAAAAATAATTATTTTATATACTGTCCTCTTTTAATAACCTCCTCTTGTTGTCTAGGTATATCTCTTATTCTATGATGCATTCTGTATATATTTACACTTTTCTTCTGGTCACTACATATTTTTGTGGTACACTACATTGCTGTGCTGTTTTTCTCTGCCTGTGTGAGAGTTTCTCATTGTCTGGTGATCAGTACTGGCCAGTGGTGCACTAAAAAATGTGATAGTAAGCTCAGAGGTGCTCATTAGAGGGGATTTCTGACTGTACCTCCAAGTTTTTCATACTGGGCTGGTCAGTCTCCAAAGAGATGATTTTTTCACGTTCCTGCGTAGAAGGTTCATGTCTGTCAGAACTCTCAAGCCCAGTGCTGGGAGAAGGCAACATGCAAAAACAAACAAACAAACAAAAACCCTCTTTTTAGTACAGTACTGCAGTGCTTAGCTGCGTCTGGGCTCCCTGAATCCTGATCTTTCCTGCATTAGCCATTTTTACGCTGAGCCTCTAGGGTTCTTGTAGGGAGAGGAAGAGACAGTTACTGAGTAGACTGAATGGACCTGCAAAGGAGATCTAGGAGTCTAACTGCTTCTTTTTGCAAATTTCAACCAATTCTCCTAAATATATATATATATTTAGTTGTAGATGGACACAATATTTTATTTATTTTTATGTGGTGCTAAGGATCAAACCCAGTGCCTCATGAGTGTGAGGCAAGTGCTCTACCACTGAGGCACAACCTCAGCCCTCCCCCCCAATTCTCCTGTTTTGAGTTCCATGTGCACCCCTACATTCAGAGCTTTTTGGTACCTTAGAATACTAGACTTCTATAGTTCTGTAGAATGGATTAGTCTGTATTTGGGCTTCTCTCATTACTATTTTTTCTTTCTTTTTTTTTTTGATTAGCTGATAAGCACAGTGAGGAAGTGTTTTCATCAGCCTTCTGTTGCTGTGACAGATGTCTGAAAAAAACTTAACATAAAGAAAAAAAAAGATTTATTTTGGCTCATGTTTTCCAAGGTGTGAGTCCCTAGTCACTTGACCTCATCGTTGTGGGTTTGTGGTGAGGCAGAACATCATGGCAGGGAACATGTGGTGAGCAGAGCTGGTCACCTCTCAGTAGCCAGAAAACAAAACAGAGAGAGAGGGGAAGGATCCAGGGACAAAATATACCCATTCAAGGGCACACCCCAGTGACATACCTCTTCCAATTAGGCCCTACACTCTAAAAGTTTTCTACCACCTCACAATAGTGCTACCAGCTGGGAACCAAGCCTCCAACACATAAGCCTTTGGGGACATTCCAGATCCAAACTAATAGCAGGGAGGGAAGGAAGAAAGGAAGGAGAGAGAAAAAGAGAGAGAAGAAGAAAAAGTAATGTCAGGAGCTCCTAGCACAATTACCTGAAGTATGTTGGAGTGGGTTTTCATCTTTCATCAAAGCCATCTTTTGTATTCTCCTGAGCACATCATAAGAAAGAGGACACCCTTCACATGCCTGTACCATTCTTAAAGGCAGTGCCATATATTGATGAACATACCTATTTTTCATTTTCTAGTTATCATAGATGACTTCAGACACCTTTGTTAAGAACACCTTTGTTAAGAACAGCTATTTCCTTTGTCATCAACAACATAAACTTATTCAATTCCAACAGGTAGATTTTTATGCTATTTTAGATATATTAACTATTTAAATATTTTAGATGTTTCGTTTAGCAAATACCTATTTCTTTTTCAGATGTCTGTGATAATGATATTGATGTTTCTGGTGGCATGGTCTCCTTATTCCATTGTGTGCTTATGGGCTTCTTTTGGTAACCCAAAGAAGATTCCTCCTTCAATGGCCATCATAGCTCCACTGTTTGCAAAATCATCTACATTCTACAACCCTTGTATTTATGTGGCTGCTAATAAAAGGTAAGTTAGCTCTAAATTGTTTCTGAATAAAAGAAAATTGACACAAAAATAATGCTTAAAAGGTAGTAGGGAAGCCAAGCATGGTGACCACGTCTGTAATCCCAGACTCTCGGGAGGCTCTGGCCAGAGGACTGCAAGTTCAAGGCCAGCCTATGAAACCTAGAGACATCCTATCTCAAAATAAAATTTAAAAAGGGGGCAGGAGATGTAGCTCAGTTGTAGACTGCCCCTAGATTCAATCTCTAGTACCAGGAAACAAAAAAAAGACAGTTGATAATATTCTAAAACTTTTCAAGAGTTGACAAAATCTAGTGTAAGGTTATTTGGCTTATGCAACCAGAGCAGCATCTATGACCTTAAATGCCCAGAGTTTTGTGACAGACTCTTTCCACTTGGTGGCAGAGATGATCTTGGCAATGTAAGACTCAAATTCTACCAGTTAGGTATCCTCCAAGGCAAGCTTTATCCCAGAGATTCCTGGCAGAAAATTCCCTAGTTGGTCATTGGTCAGCTTGGTTTGAAGTGGTTAACCCTCGAAATACATGGAATAGTGGTCTCCAAAGGAAAGAACGATTCTAGTACCAGAAAATAGACCAGGCAATGTTGGCTCTTATTTTTAGTAGAAAGCATAGTTTTATACTTTCCAGACAGAAAACATTTTCAAATGCAAGAGAAATATCCAGTATTAACATAAAGGACATTGGGAGTGGATAGTTATCTAGGGTAATAGTGAATTCTTCCTTCCTCCCTTTTTTTGAGACTTTCAGCAAGGAGTTCCTTTCCTGACTCCTCAGTGAAGTTTTAATTTCTTAATTTCCTGTTAGTGCTGAATGATGGACCAATCTACTATGCTTAAATATTTGGCCAGAAAATCTCAGTGGAGGTCAGGTAATTGGATCCAGTGCTGCTTCTATTAAAACATGTATTAATGCACATGCTAGGAAGAACAGCTGCAGCAGCAGGTATGTCAAAGAACATACAAAAGTCAAGACCAAACAGACCACATCAAAAGAATAAAAAGCACATTTAAATTCAGAATCTGTTGGTAGTTCTTTTGGAGCTCAAGCCTCCAACTCAAGCCCCACCTACCTCAATTCAACTGGCCTTTGCTCAAGAACATGAAACATCTTTAGTTCAAATAAATAACTCATTACACTTGACATTTGAAGTGTTATTTTAAATATTCATAATTGTTAATTTTTATTCAGTGTCTTCAATGAATAGTGCAAAATTGATCTTATTTGTACCATATACTCTATACATTTATAAAGACTCCCAACAGTAGATTCTAAAGTCGTAGGCAGAAAATATATTTGGAAATGTCAATTCATAGTAGTGCCACCTTAGTCGTGTTTGAAAATGCTTCAGCAGTTCTAGGTCCCTGTAGAATAAAGCCAGATTTTTCCTTTCTTATTGTAGGTTTCGGAGGGCTATGTTTGCCATGTTCAAATGTCAGACTCATCAAGCAATGCCTGTGACAAGCGTTTTACCAATGGATGTATCTCAAAGCCCACGGGCTTCTGGAAGAATCTGAAATAAGAGAAAATCACACTGGCAAAGCATTGTAGTTGTGGTTTTTTTTTTTTACTACTTCAATTTTATTTTAAATACAAGCCCATTTGGATCAACTGCAGACATAGTAATTGTCCTGTTAGACTCGCTCATTGTTCTGTTTGTGCCTTGGCGGTTATAGTGCATGTGTCTCTATTTTTTTATATGTGAACTCATTCCTCAGCTCCTTTGATGCATCTAGATATATGAGATTAAAATCCTGTTGCTTTTCTTTCTTCTTATCATGCCATTCATTACACCAGACTGATGACTTACAACTTGCCTTAGTTCTCCATTAGCCACTGTTTTAATATTATAATAAATTAATAATAATAATTTACAATCCTCAATAAATTATTACTGAAATGAGTGGTTGGACTTTCAAATCTAAAATAGAAACCATTTTATCATTTTAAAACTTAAATACTTAGAATCAATTATTGACAACATTGTTTAACAAAAATAATCAAATAAGCATTAAACTTATATTCAAATCATGTTGATCATTGCAAATAAATAGTTTATCTAGCAATGTGATATCTGTTCATTTTGTTATGTATTTTGCAATTTTTAATTACCATTTTCCTGCATATGTGTTTCCATGTTTGCTGTTAGAATCAAGTTCAATCTGAGCGGGAGTTTTTGTACATTTGTTCTTTGATATATTCTTAGCATGTAGATCCATTCTGTAGGCACTCAATAAATATTTGTTGAATGCTGAATGAATTTGTAAAATTTGTCATTTTAAATGAATATTAATAATAGCTCAATATACCATTGTTTAAATAATGGCCATCTAAATTGCTTCCAGTTTTTACTTTCATGGATGCACTATTGGGAACATTTTATTACAAATATCTTTTTTTTTTCTCTGAGAGATGATTTTTATTTGAGTGTTTCTCCAGACTTGAGTTATTGGATACAAACATAAAATAATATTACTGTGGCTAGCTTACTGTCTGGAAAAGAATTAATTTACACTGCATTGACAGTGTGTAACTGCATTTTTCACCAAATGCTGATGGTGCTATATTGTTTTATTTTTAAACTATGGGTTATCTACTATAACTTAATTATATTTCATCTTTCTTTAAGTGCTAGTGAAGCTATGTAGATTTACTTATTGTATTTTCTTATCTTGATTTGTTTTTCTTTTTGTAAATTGTCTAGCTCCCTTGGTTGCATACTAAGTAAAACGTTTAGTTTTATAAATACACTTAGTTTTATATATACAATTCTTCGTGTATATGGAATAGTAAACTTCCTTGACAGACTGCTAGATGAGGCAGGTGTGGTGGCACACACTGTAATCTCAGGCTACTTGGGAACCTGAGGCAGAAGGACAGCAAATTCAAGGACAGCAAGTCTGGGAAATTCAGTAAGATCCTGGCTCAAAATAAAATTTTAGACAAAGGCTGGGGATGTTGCTCAGTGGTAGAGTGAAGCCTAGCAGGTACAAAGCCCTGAGTTGAATCCCCAGCATAGCAAAGACAAATAACAACAACCTCATAGTTTATCTCCCTACTCTTCAGCTTTCCCTACTGCAATTTATAGATTAATTTCATAACTAATCTTTTCAAAAGAAAAATTTTCGTCTCTCAGATCTTCAGCTCAAACATTTTCTATTGGCTTCCATGTATAAAGCTCTCAGCTAGATTTTCAGGACCCTCTTCAATATGGCCCCAAAGAGACTTTTTAGCTTTTTGTCTTTCTCCAATAGCCAAATTAAAATGTCTAATGTTCTTAGCTCAAGATGCTTTGTGCCAGTAGTTCTTTGCTTGTTTCCTATAGCTGAGCCATTTATAGAAAAAGCCCAGTGAGGTTCTGTGTCCAAAGTCATAGAGCCATTAAGTGGCTGAGACAGTATTTGTTTAGAAAATTGATTCCGAGTTCCAATTTGTAAAACCTTGGATTCATTTCCAGCAATAAGCAAAGAGTAATGGTGCCTTAAGCATAAAACGACTTCAACAATGTGATAATATTTTAATACTACATCTATCAGTTTATTTTCTTATATAAGATGAGGAAGCTCTGGGTTTGATTACACAGCTCCTTTAGCCTCTAAGTTTATAATTTGATGTTTCATATTTAAACAGATTTTCCATTCTCAATTGGGCATGTTTTGCTTCCATGTAGGTCATAACATCCTTGAAAGCCCCATGTGGTCACTTGGTAATTAGAGCTCTACCTACCACCATTTCTTTCTCCTTTGGTCCTCAAAAACTCAGTCTGAGGTACCACCTATTACTATGTCTCCAGCACTGGGACACTATGGGTTTGACTCCGGATCCCTTCCTCTTCTCCTTGCCACACCTACTCATTGCTGTTTTCCTGAGGTTTCCTGAAGCTGCTCTGTCCCATTACTGGCACTGCAGTCCAAGTTGGAGCCACAGGGTTGCTCACCTGGACATTACCACAGCTGTCCACCTGAACCCTCCTTTTCGCTTCTCATTTGCTGTCAAAACCTTTCCTCCACTCGGTGGCCATAAAATTCCACCTAAAATGATGATCTAATGTGTCACTCCCAAGCCTTACCTACAGGCTGAGTGTAAGCTCTTTCAGAGGGAATCTAAGTCCCTTGCTCCATAACCGGGGTCCTGTCTTACCTCTCCAGCTTTATCTTTCTCCCTCATTTTTAACTTCCTGCTTCAGAATCTTGGGCCTGAGCCACAGAAAGTGCTTGCAGTTCTCTGAGGACACCATATTGTTTCTTGCTTCCCCCATTTTGCTCCTGCTGTTACCTCTACTTACAGTGCCTCTTTCCTGATTTTCTCATAATATCTCAGTGTGCACCACATAAGGGCAGCTCAGGTGCCACCCACCATAGGAAGTCTTGCCTGACCTACAAAGGCTGGGTTTGGTGATCTTTTGTGCTTCTTTGTTACTCTGCCTCTCTTAATCAGGTGAGTTCTTTGTGCTTACTCATCTTTGTGCCCCCTAATACTTAGTTTAGCTTAGAACAGAGGAAGTCATATTTGATGAATAAATGAATTGTACAGAATCTGAAAATCAGTGTTTAATTTAGCAAAATTTTCAGACTCTACTATTTCTATGTAAATTCTTTTTAAAATTTATATATATATATAAAGTTTTAGGTGGACACAATGCTTTTATTTTTATTTATTTTTATGTGGTGCTGAGGATCAAACCCCAGTGCCTTACCCATGCTAGGTAAGCACTCTACCACTGAGCCACAACCCTAGTCCTTTAATTAGTTCTTTTTAGTTATACATGAGAGTAGAAGCCATTTTGGCATAATTATAGAAGCATGGGATATATCTTGTTCTAATTTAGTCACCAGAACTTTTCCTTTCCCTTCCCTATATATATATATAAGTTTTCAGTAATGTTTTCTACAATATTCTTGTTTTGTATAACTGATTTTTTCAAAGTTTTTGCTTTAAAGGTGATGGACAGAACCATGTGACATGAAGATTAAATCCTTGATTGTCCCTGCAGAGTTTTCATTTTGTGGATGTAGATGGAGTTTTAAATTAAATGAGATTTTTATTTTCTGCTAGAGTTTAATATTACTAAAAGACATGAAGAGTGATATTCAAATATGGTTTTGATGCCCCAAACTTGGGAAACTAGCTTGGAATAAAATATGTTCTTGAACAGAGGTTATTGCCTTCATTAAAAATAAACATGCTGGGATAAACCTTATGCTCACTGAGATGATCTGGAAGAATCTCAGGACACACTTTCACTGGAGACTCATTCCTGAAACATCAGGAGTAGATTGAAGAGCTTTCCCTAAAAAATATATGACCAAGATTTGTTATTCTTTGTTTTTGCAGATAACTAGTATGTGGAAACATTGATGTCTATTTTAAATCAATTTTATGCCATGGGCTTCTATCTTTAAAACTAAATTTTGCAAAGCGATGTTATACAAGATGGTTAAAAGCAAATGCAAAAAAAAATATTTATAATGCACATGGAAAAAAGCTACAGAATATTCTAGCTTTTGCTAAGACATTGAATTACTATTATTATTAGTGCTGGGGTGGAACTCAGGGCATTGCACATGCTTGGCAAATACTGTACCACTGAGCTATACCTTCAACCTAAATTCATTAATGTTGAATTTTTTTTCAACATTAATGGTGTTAAATTGTACTGACAATTGTATTGATAGGAAAGACACTTAATTTGGGTATTTCCTCGCAAATTTAGATATGGGTAACTATTGAAATTGTCCTGGCAGGTTTAATTTTTATTCTCCTTAGAATGTGTAGCTTTGCTAATAAAACCATATTCAAAGCCTGGGTCTATTGATTCCCTGTAAGATACACTTGAAGGTTAAGTAACTACAGATCTCAGCTAATCCTTTGTAATCTGCTGTTGCTAAATGACGGCTTGCATTCCTGGCACACCAGTTTCTGAATGTTTAGGATTTAGTTTTTACCTTTTGTTCAAATTACCTCTGGAAGAAGCCATGCTTCTTTTTGCACATCTGTGCATTGTGCTCAGCTTTTTGGAAGTAGTAAGGTGTTCGTGTCCTTCTCAGTGCACCTGTGATCTTCGTGGCAGAGATGACGACTCAGGTTCAAGGTATGTTCCTCTCCTTGCTACTAAAGGTTCTAATTATTCCAGGAAAAAAGCCCAAACAAGTCAGCCTTATTTTGAAAGCAAACTTATTTTCAGAAATCAGAGAAGGTTTAATTTATATACACTTTAGTTTAATTGTGTTAATACTGATCACCCACTGCTTTATGATTCTCATTTTGAGCAGTGTAACTCTCAAAAGCCTCACATGATTTGGAATTTCCAAACACAATGTGTTACAAAAATATTCACTACACTCATATTCATAAAATGTCCCTTTCAGGAGGTTGAGACATTTAAGTGTGTGTAGAGAGCTCAGGCCTTGATTCTAGAAGGTCGAAGAGGGCTCCCCTGGGAAACCTGTGGGATGTGGGCATGTCATTGGCTGCCAGGGTGTTTTCCCTGTTTCCTCTGATGATTCTTCATGCCAACAGCTGGATAAAAGAAAGAATAATCATAAATGTGAAGGCTCATAATTAGAATTTTTCATTTTGACTAATGAAATGGACAAGGTAATGATTATAGGACTTCACTGAAGTTATTTAATCTCAAGATTATTTCAACATCTACCTGTGCAGTAAGAAAAGGAATTTATGTACAACAAACACTTTCAGATATGAATTAAATGCAAAACAGAACTCTTTATTAGCTAAATGAAGTAGATCTTTTTTGGTTTTGGAAATGGTATTTAATAATAAAATCAGATTATTTTTTATTTGGTGGTTGAAATAAGCAGTGAGTGAGTCTCTTAAACAAAGTAATCTATTTAAAACAAA